TTTTGGATCAACATCCTTAGCAGCACCTTGATATCTGTTCAGTGTGGCATTCTCTTTTTTTAAGGGTGATTCTGTTGCTGTTAGTCTATCCTTACGTAAGCACAGTAGATTACATTTAGTAAATCATGGTAATTCCTTTCATGCCATTCTGTTTAAAACTTATTTGATTATTTCCCTTTAAGGGACCTCCAGGGCTACCAGGATTTCCAGGCACACCAGGACTTCCTGTGAGTAGGAATGGCTTATATAGATAGACTCTAGTTTGTTTTCTCCTTCTTGCCTAAGAAGAGCGAAAACCTATGAAATAACTATACTTTGCTCTTTTCCGCTTTAAAGGGATTACCGGGACAGGATGGGCCACCAGGACCTCATGGTGTGCCAGGGTGCAATGGAACAAAGGTAGAATCCCTCTAAAATTCATAACGATATAACAATAATGTGGTAACAAGCTATTGTTCTCCTGAAGGTAGCCAATGGGAAAATTATTGTGTGCAATACTTGTTATTAAGTACTGCAGGGGATTCTAAGATGGTCCATACCCATATCCCTTGCCGGGAAGAGAGGGCATGATTTGGTATTTAAAGCACAAATTATTGGTGAGAAATAGCCAGCACCAGACACTTACAATCTTCAGCCATCATAGTTAACTTCATTGTTACTTTATTCTGATTGTGCTTATTTTTTAGCTAACAAACTGAGAAGTATATCATAATTGGATCATATGCTGCATCTGATCTTTGTAGAGCCTTACGATGAAGCAAAACTTATTAACAGTGGGACTGGTAATACAGTGGGACATTTTAATTATTATATATTATATTATTATTTATTATTTTCTAATAGCATTTTATTGAAAAAAGTGATTTAGTATTCTTATTGTAAAGATACGCTTTCATTCTAACATGTAACAACTTCAGTTTGTTACCTTTCCTCTTAAGAAGTGAGACTGACCTTCTGTATCACTACTTGTGTTTTTCCCTCTCTGTACCACTGTAGTCAACAGTTATTTACCTGTGTTTGCTATATTTTGTTCCTTTTTTGTCTAATTATCCTTTTCATCCTTAAGGGAGAGCGTGGATTCCCAGGCAGTCCAGGTTTCCCTGGTTTACAAGGACCTCCTGTAAGTAAAATATTTCCAGATCAGTGTCCTGTAATCCACAAAAAAACTTTTGCTTAGATCTGTAAAGAATCAGATAAATATCAACCTCTTTTTGCAGTTGCTCTTTTAATAAAGTATCAAAAAACTATCTTGATAGTGTTATCTTGTGCACTTAAAGTATGTTAATGATCATTAGTGGTGCGGAAAGAAGGGACGGTGTGTAGGGTTTTATCCTCACAGGACCAAAGAAGGTACAACAAACCGACTGAGCTTAAGTATCAACACAAAGAATGCTAAAAACAAATTGCCAGCACATGGAAATTTAGTCCTCCTTATGTTTGCTGAAAGTACTTCTCATTTTTTTTTCCGGTAGATTTTGAAGATCTCAATGCCACACACACTTTTTTTTTTTTTTATTACCCCTTTTTAGGTGCTCTTTAATGCTTGTCTTGTGCTATAGATATGATTAATATTTTGAAAATAATGTGCCAGTCATTTATATTCACCTTTTTTATTTTTTTTGTTTCCTTTATTTAAAGGGACCCCCTGGTCTACCAGGTATGAAGGTAGGTGTTCTGTACTCTGATATTAAAGTGCTAACCAGAGATGAATACTCAGTGTGATCTGACATAAGTAACCTGCGTCCTTTGGTGCAAGACCATGTATATCCGTTGGAATCTGATGTGAACTTCTGCAGAAGGCTTTTGTTTTTAGTCTATTTCAGTGCAGCTATCTGGAAATTCTGCAGTAGCTTTACCCAATTTGGGTGAGTAGTTCAGGGAGTAGCCAATAGTTTGTGAAGCTGGTTCTCTTGAGAGTGTGAGGGCCAATGTGCCTGAATGGATGCTGTGAGCCATCAAGTTAGCAAAATGCCTGCAAACACTTAAGTGCATCAATAACATACATGTGCATGCCAATGAATGCTTGAACATAAGTTCATATGTTAAGAATGAACTTAACATATCTAGTGAAAGGGGTAGCATCTTACATTCCTTTTGCAAGGGATTCCTACTTTATAGATAAAGTGTGTAAGTAATCTCATAATATTATCTTGGACGGTAGAGTTTAACCTTTTAAGTTTTAATTAAAATTTTCTTCCCGTATCTTTAACTTATTTGACCATAGGCCTAAACATCAATTTCAATTCAAGTTTATTTAAAAAGGAAGTCTGAGCCATATAAACTCCTAAGAGGACAGCGTTATATATATTGGAGCTAGGAAAATGTCTTTTAAGTTGAATTGGTTTTCTCAGCCTCTTTTCATTAATTTTAAAAATATTAAAATTCATGCTGATCAGGACAATTATGTCAGATTTTGAAAACAAATATCTTCCATGAAATCAGTAAGAAACTACTTCAATATGGATCATGAAGCACAACTGTTATAATTGCATACTCTGCATTAATCTCATGAGACTAGTCATTGCAAAAGTCTGAAAGAGAGTGTTTTGTGTTTTGTTTGTTTGTTTTCTTCTTTTTGGTCATGTCCTATCAGTTGCTTTCCATTGCAACTAGAATACGCCTTTCTTTTGTAGAAACTTTTGTATTTCAATCCCTTAATCTTTTGGAATTTGAGTGAATGCTGATACGTTTGTACAGATAAAAAGAAATCTTTTAATGGTTGGTAGTGGGTTTTAGCCATTTTTAGTTAAACTTCTCTAAACGTGCAAGGATCTCTGTTAAAAAGAGGTATTTCTTAGTGCAGTACCTAAATCAGAGAACTGCTGGAGTATTGATGTCAGAATGGTGATAGAGTTATAGAATGTGCTATTAATTAAAGTTAGTTGTTTTTCTTCTAGGGTGAACCAGGTGAAATAATTACATCCTTGCTGCCAGGACAAAAGGGTGACCCAGGATTTCCAGGTCTTCCAGGAATACCTGTGAGTTCTCTAAAGTACTATTAAGCTGTGTTCTGAGAGAGAGAGATAAAAAAAAAAAGTTAAAATAAAGAATGTTTGGATTGCAGCACAGCTGGAATGTTTGGTAGTGTGGGATAACCTATATTTACTTGAAGGAGCAGGTTTCGGATTTAATGATTTTTATGGTTTGGGGGAAAGTAAATACAACCATATTGTTTTAAATAGGGTGACCCATAGAGGACAGAAAGGTCCTGTGTGCACGAAAATGGTGTCCAGAAGACAGCTGTAATCACAGTTATTTGCTTGCTTCTTTGTTTCCCCTTCCTGCCCCGCTTCAGACATCCTCTGTGCCAGTTTTAGAATTCTCTCTTATTACCCTCAAGTGAAGCAAGTAACATCTGCATTTCTGGGTTATATCCGCTATTTCAGGTGATAGGAAGAAAGAGCAATATCTCAGCTGTTCTCATCTTGCATCTCCTGGCAGAGTTGCTGTTCTCCCAGCAGGCTTCTGTGAAAATAGCTAGTGACTCCAGGCCCCCTGCTTCCCCCCTGAGCCATTCATTGTTTTAGTGGAAGAACAAGGGGAGCAGAAAATGAGTCTATCTGGCTGATCTGGAGAGAAGCCAGAGACTCCTATTTCCTGGTACAGCGAGGCAAGTCCCAGGCTATTCTGACCAGACTGAGCCTGTTAGCCTTTCTGTTCCTCTGATCTGTGCTTCCCTATTGTCTGTTTCTGCCTGGGAGGGATCACAAATACAACATGGCGTTCTCTCTCCATGTATGATGAGAGCAAGAGCAAAAGTAGTTCAAAACAAAGAATATTCTCCTTATCCAAGCCAAAGAGACATAATAATATTGAGAGCAATAGAGTCCTTACAGTTCTGCACAGCATACAGTCCTTTAGGTCCTTCCTTAAGAACAGATCAGTAGGTTAGTGGTCAGTTCCTTTGATTTCACCAGTATGAAATGCCAACTGTAGTTTTCTTGTTTATGAGGTCTTTGCATTTGCCCAGCTGGTTTTTCCACAAGTAGGTGCCTCTGACAACCTCCTACACTTTCTCAACAGGGCCCCCCTGGTTCCATGGGTATACCAGGTCCAACTGGCCCTCCAGGGCCCCCAGGTTTGACAGTAAGTTTCTTTAACCAGTTACCTATAAACTGTAGGCAGTTACTGCTTTGTTTCATGTCCTCAGCAAAGAGCAGAATTCTAGATAGTCAAGACTTGGGCTGCAGGTAGTGTGTATTCACCATGTATTCATGTGATCTGGAGTTGCTATTCTGCATGTTTAAAAATCATATGTTTAATAACATATGACTTTTAAAACATTTAAACTTTTTTATGTTTAAAAACATCTTTCCCAAGATCGCTTTTTGCTTTAAATCAAACTGTATTTTTTTCTACCTCCTTATTTGTGTTTCCACCAAGGTGGAAAACCATTGCTTTTATTTGCTTGTGAATCCTGATGGGCCAGATGTAGCTTGTAGCATGACTTAGGTCTTTATTTCACAAATTTTAGTATCTAAATACTTCACTTCATGTTATTGTCTCACTTAAAGCAAGAACTAATTTTTTATATATTTGTAAAGTTTAATAAGATCATAAGGAATAGCTCTTAGAGAAAGTGCTTGTCAACACAGACCTAGTCAAAGTAGCATCACTGCCCTTTTTTCAAAGGGAGCATGCAAAGTACATAGCTATCCCCAAACAGTAGTATTACGAACGAATGACTTTTTTTTTTTTTTTTTTTTTTCCATTTTAATAGGGACCTCCTGGCCCCCCAGGGCTTCCAGGACCTAAGGTATTTCTTTTTCCCTTGTTGATGGTGGTGGATGTTTTTGTTTTGTTTATCTTTCTCTTGATTTGTGACTTCTAGATGCTGATGACTTTTGTGTTTTTGCAGGGTAATATGGGTTTGAACTTCCAAGGACCCAAAGGTGAAAAAGTGAGTAGATCATGATGGTCCTTTTGCTGATTGATTTCAATACTTGTGTGTGTTGTTTTTACTTCATGTCATTTTAGTTTGCATTGACTGTAATAAACTTCTTGCCATCTTCATGCACTCCAGGGTGAACAAGGTCTTCAGGGACCGCCAGGGCCACCAGGACAAATTGGTGAACAGAAGAGACCAAATGACATTGAGTTTCAGAAAGGAGATCAGGTGAGTGGGAGATTATATCTGTTTACAGTGATAAATCCAGAAGTCTCTGTTGATTTGGCTAACATGTACTGATACCTGCTAACTGTTCACAGGTTCTGTTATTCTTCCCAAAGCACTGAATCTTTTGGGTCTGAGTACTTTTCCTTTAACAGAGGCATTCTAGTTATGTTAGCTGGGTTACCTCTCTATTAAAATAACTGGTCCTACAAAAGAAACGGTCTCAAAGCATGCCCATATTAACAGTAAAAGCAGTTAAACTATTCTCGTTCCTTAAATCACCCGGATAGAACTTTACAAAGCTGTCTGAACATATTCATATTCCCATTAATTAACTGTCTTTGTTATCTATTGTGAAGAAGTCTTCCAAAATTTTAACTCGGCTTGCCTCCTTTTTTGTCATAAGTGATGCCCTGATTTGGGGGGATTTTTCTTCCCTCTTCCTTTTGGGCTGAATGACTTTCTGGTTTCTGGCCTCTCTGCAGTAAATATTTTAGCCAGGGTTGGGACAATTATGCTGCCCATCATCTTTATCAAAACCATTTTTGTCCTCCCTTTTATAATAATAGTAGGCCCCATTAGAGCATATCTTGGAGCTATCTACTCATGCACATTTGCAGTGTGAGTCGTTTTAGGAAAGTCTTCAGTTTTGTCTCTTTTTGGTTATTAAGGCAGAAGGTAAAGAACAATACTGTGTGTTCTAAGAAAACATAAGATGAAATTTTAACCATACTATAATGAAGAAAAAAATCAGCTGATTTTATTAGGAACAGAGTAATTTGCTTCTGTCATCAAGGATCTCTGAATGCTGGCACATAGTCTGAGTACCTGGCCTTTGAACAACGTTTATAATGATTTCAAGGTGTAAAGATCTGTTTATATTTCAACATTTATACTGTGTGCTTAGTGGTACACAACTAGTAAAAAAAAATTTGAACTTGTTTTTTTGAGTTCGCTTGTTTTTTGAGATACACACGTGATCTCAGATAACCAAAAAATCAAACATAAATCTGGGAGGCCTTTAAGAAAAAAACAAACACTTTTCAAAGCTTTTGTGGACTAAGCAGCCTGTGTCTTTCTCTTTAATATTGAAGAGATTTGACTTCTTGTACAGAGGTGTAACAGTGCAAAATATAAACCTTAAGGTTTTGACATGGGGATCCATGACACTTTTCTGAAGAGCAGGCTACTGATCACGGTATCCTCAGTCACAACTTCAGCAACTACGAGCAACTTAATGACTGTTACCCCTGTAATTTCAGCTGGATCTGGAATTCCATCCTCCTTCCTTCCTTCCTTTTTGTTATTGTATAGCAGCTGCAGACCACCAAAACAGCTTTTGCAGTGCGTGCAGGAGGCATTTGTGTCTTAGTGGAATGAATCATCTAGATAAACAGGATGAGCAGTTAATGAAATTTATAGTTGCACTTGAAGATCTGCATAAGTGAAGAATATTCTATGTGAGCTTTTGCTGTTCATGGCACTTGGAAATCTAAATGACAGAAAAAAAAAGATACTATTTTAAAAATGGAGAGACTGGGGAGTGATGGAAGCTTTAACCCTCTTTTTCTTTTGCCCATGCTTGACAGGGTATTCCAGGTGATCCAGGCCCACCAGGACTTCCTGGGCCACAAGGCCCTCCTGTGAGTAGTCCTCTTTTAGTCCTTTCTTTGTTGCCCGTGTATCAGAACTGTAAATTCATTCTACTCTGGATTGTGGGCTCAGTTTAAGATAATGTTTGTGTGTCCAGGGTCTTCCCGGTGGCGTAAAAGGTGAAAAAGGTGAGCAAGGAGAACCAGGCAAAAGAGTAAGTAATCTATTTAACCAAACATTTGTCTTTCCAATCAGTGTTATCTTTGAGAATTAAGCAAATGTTGAACTAAGGTTGAGCCATCAGCCTCCGGGTAAGAGACTTTTTTTTTTTCTCTGGCAAACTGTAGGTGGTACACACGGTTCATGGAAGGTGATTCTAACTATGGATCTCTCATTACTTTCTTGATCTATATGTATACATCTATATGTAGCTCTTAGGTGTGAGGCAGGCAAAACTACATTTTGTAAAGCAGCAGTTTTCTGTTTGTTTTAGAGAAGTTCTTCATTCAGTTTTCTATTTATTGGTTTGCCAAGCAGTGTGTGACTGCTGTATTTGTAAGCTTCTCAGCGTAACTCATTCGTAGTGGATTTACTTATGAAGTGAGTCACTGCAACATGTTTCTGAACATGATATCAAGACCAAGAGTTCATTTTTCAGGTCTCAAATGACTTTTTTTTTTTATGTACCCTCTGTGAGGGGACAAGTCAGGTTAGCTGCTCTTAGGAATAGCATAAGTCACCTTGTTCCTGTTTGGATTCAAAAACATCCAGGAACTTGGATATATTTGGGTCCCTCAGCTCAGGGTTCTCACAGAACCCATAGTTTCATCAACATTATGGACATCTCTGAAAATCAAGCCACACATCGTGCTTGTCTTAGTTGGACAATATAAAAATCCTGAAACATGTTGGTCATAGGTTTTCAATACAAAAGAAAAGAAAGTCCACTGAAAAAATTCCATTGGATATTCTCAATAAAATACTTATTAGTTTCTGAGATTTATGGGCAGACTTTGATTTGCCTTTTCTATATAAGAAAATGTTACAGATTTACAGAACCAAAACTCTCAATATGTTTTTTGCACTATTGAATTCCATCTTCCAATTTATTTCTCTGCAAAAATATTTGGGCACCACATGAATTTGAAAAGACCTGAAAGGCTAAAAATCCTTAGTGAGTGTGGGGGGATGTTTTTTGCCAAAAGCTTTTTTTTTTTTTTTTAACCAACATTTTTGTTTGTTTTTTATTGCTCTGCATTTGGGCATAGTGCACACTTGAAGTGCAGTTTTGCTGATAAGTGACTCTAAAATTATGTTTTAGAGTTCCATATTGTTACATGCTTCTCAAACCATGTGAGATATAACCAAAAAAAAGTTAACATATGTCAAACATATGTCATAAACAGCCACTTCTCTGAGCAGAAGTGCTTTTCATAATTTGATGTTATTTTTCAGAGGAAAAAAAAAAGAATGCCTTCTATTTAGAGGAGAGTTAAAATTCACACACGTAAAAGTTTGTATTTAATTTCACTGGTCACATTACATTATTTTCTAGTTAAATGTCATATTCTGGTGTTTGAGAGTTAGGATCTCTTTTTCCAGTAAAGAATTCCTCTATTGTAAACCAAATGAAATATTAAATACAAGGAATCAGCACTAGTTCACTGGAGGTCATTGTGCTGTGTTCTCACAACATTTCATTGAGACTTGTCTAGTTTTCAGAAATAAAACTTGAGTTTAGTTAACTCCATTGAATATATGTGGTTGTTATCTCTGAGATATTTGTCACAAGGATTGTATTCTAGAGGAATTGTGGTTTGTTGAAAATTGGGAAGTAAAATTATTTCCACCAGAATTTTTCACTACCGAGGATTTTTTTTCAATACATATCTATGTCTTTGAAGGGAAAGCCTGGGAAAGATGGAGATCCTGGTCAGCCTGGTCTAGATGTGAGTAGCTCATATATTTCTTAGCAAAGCAGACTCCTTAAAAGTTTTTCTGCTGGTATGGAGAAGATCTGAATGTGATGTTTGTTTGTTTGTTTGTTTTTTACATCTGAATGTGATGTTTGTTTGTTTTTTTTTCTTAAAGGGTTTACCTGGTGGGCCTGGAATAGATGGTGCTCCAGGAAGAGATGGTGAAAAGGTATGAGGGGTTATTTGCTGTTATTGCTACAATACCTACAAAATCGCTGAGTTCAGTTCTGACTGAATAGTGATTGTATTGTCTATGCTGTTAGTGCTGTTGAGGATTTGCAGTAAATCTCTTGTGTGTAGTATAAAAAAATTCTTATTTCATTGACAGGGTGAGAAAGGTGACACTGGTCCCCCTGGTCCTCCTGGAAGTGTAAGTTGCTGGTGCTTTCTTCCCCTGTTTGGTTGGCAGTGTCGTCCAAGGCTGGACCTCAAACTAGCAGAAATGAGAAAGCCTCTTAGAAGTCAATGAACATATATTTTATCTTAGTCATGTTGGATCCACACACAGATTTTTTTCAAAAGTTCAGAAAATTGCCTTTGCAAAGCCATACAAAGTTACAAATTCAGTTGAACTGAAATCTTCTTATGGGAACAAATAATTGCTAGCCTATTCTAACCATGTTTGAAAGACACTGCACCATGGAAAACTCATCCTGAGCCATTGTTTGTGTTGTCACGGTCTGCTCTCAAGAAATGGAAATGACCTGAGCAAGAGTTCTTCTATAAGGTTACCATTCTCTGTGTCATGGCCCTATGTATGACCTTATCCACAAAGGATTCCGCCTGAAACAAATAGCAGTTACACCTTTTTGTCCTGATGTGAATCTGAGTATCTCCTTTGATATCAGTAATGTAACAGTGAATTTGCAACTCTGTGATGGAACAGAATTTGATGCCTCTATTCTTGCTGCATTTGGAATTTAAAATCTTCACTATTGAAGATGAATAAACTATATGCTGGAGTTATTTACCTTTTCAGGAAACGGGAGTGTTGGGAGGGTTTCTGTGGAACTTAAGTTCTCACACAAATGCTGTTTATTTTTCATACAGCAAGAATGCAATGTGCTGTAGGATTTTTAACAAATCTCATGAGAACATTGCGTGGTTTGGCTTTCTCTGGGGACTACTCTTCATGGGAATGTTAATGATAATTCTGTGGCATGAGGAAAGCATCCTATTGTTGGCATTGTGTCTTTTCACCTTTCAAGTGACACTTTTGTTGGCTTTTTAATTGACAAATTGTTTCACATTAACACTATCATTGAACATTAATAGGTCATTTCAAGACCAGGCATTGATGCAACAGTGGGACCAAAAGGTAGCAAAGGATTTCCAGGACTTCCAGGAGCCAAAGGAGAACGTGGATTCTCTGGTAGGCCAGGCCCACCTGGTTTGCCAGGTTCTCCAGGTAAGAGTGCCAGTATTAAAATAAGTGGTATGTTCAAATATCTAAGCATATATTTAGTTAGCTTCATGGTCTTTTCACAGTTCTTTGGTCAAGTGGGCCGAGCATGTAAAGTTATCTTTTTTTCTTTGCATAGATAGATTTTTTTCATAGTTGGCATAGATAGATTTTTTTCATAGTTGGACTCTGTTCCTAGGTTCCAGTATGAAACATTAACCTTTTATAACAAAGATGTTATGGAATACTTATGCATATATTGAAAGAGGCAATCTTATTTGTTGCGTGTTATTCATCAAATATAATTGTTGCCACCCCCAAAAAGAATCATTATTTAAACCCTCGAACTGTCAACAAACTAAGCTTTTCCTATCTTAGGGATCACAACTGTTGGACCTCCTGGCCCACCTGGCTTACCTGGTGAGAGAGGACAGAAGGGAGATCAAGGTTTACCTGGTGTTTCGATTCCTGGGCAGCCAGGACTTGATGGACCCCGGGGATCCCCAGGACCACCAGGACCCCCAGGACCACCTGCACCATCAGGTCCTCCTGGTAAGTGATGGTCACATACACAGCAAGGGGAAGGCACTGAGCATTTTGGGTATTCAGTCCCTTTTAAAGTCTTCCTCCAAACATGTCATTCATCACAATAAAAGCCTTTGAAAAGAGATTCAAGATTTCAAGCTACTCGTATATGTCCTCCAAGCCACTCCTAGTCCAAATCAGGTGAGTAGGAGTCTCCTAGTCTTAGGAACTCTTATAGCGTGTGCGAATTGAGTGGTGTGGATTGTAGGCAAGCATTACTATGCCTCTTTCTGCTTCAAGTTAGCCCTGCTGTGACTTACCTGTGAGATTCAGCAAGACTAGTGGAGAAGGAATCTTGTCAGACTCGAGGGAGCTTTCAAGCCTAGTGACAGAGTAAGAACAGTTCTCCAGGGCCCAGCAGATCTGTCCCAGATTTTTTTTTCTTGAGTTGATATTAAATCCTACATTATCTGACTAAGGAAGGACAAAATTTACACATTATGCAGGACATGATCACTTTAATGCTTTCTTGAGTAGATTTAGCTTTAACGGTTTGATTTAGTAACTGTTTGGAGTAGACAGATTGATTCTGCAAGAGTCAAAGGGGTAAAATACCATTTCATCTAATGTATATTCTAGTGCATGAATCATAAACAATTATCTTGGGAGTGGACTCTTAGCTGATCGTAGAGAGAAGGAATGTGGGAAATTGGAGATGAAACTGGGGCTGGAAAGCTGTGGTAAAGAATGGCTAATGTGGTTTTGGGAGTGCTTACCATGGCACTGACATCTTCAAGTCCTCTCTCTCTGGTGGTATTTCATATGCATGTACTTTTATGTGAAGCTAAATGATAGAGCGTAGCATGTAGAGGGGGAAATGTACAGGCCAGGGGAATTAGTGGGAGATGATTGAAATGAAAGCTTATGAATGTTTTGCAACATCACTGATGAATTACTTTGCTGGATTTCCATACACATCTCTGTCTCTGAATTAACAAAAGTGCTCGGCCCATGGTTGTGTTTGTATATTAGAATAGAAACAAAAATACCAAAAAATACATTTTTGTACTACATACATTTATTGAATGCTGTTGTCAGTCTAACGCATTGATCGTTAAATCTTTCTTGATTCTCCTTAGGTGAAGGGTTATGTGAGCAGGGGCCTCCAGGTCCTCCCGGAATTCCAGGACAACAAGGCTTTATGGGGGAGCGAGGCCAAAAAGGTGCCATGTCATAGAAATGTTTTTTTCTCTTCTTGTTAAAGCTTGTCCAACAATTTCCAAGCCTGCATTAGACAAAGAATAAACAGTGTCCCTTCACATTAGGGTTGGTGCATGGAAACATGTAGGGTTCTACATTTTTTCTGAATATGAAGTCTGTTTTACTTGGACATAGGATAGCTCTTCCTCTAGTGTAAAAACTCAGTATTTTCAAACTATCTGAGAATATAACCCGTCTGAATAGCCTCACTCAGATCATGATTAAAGTAAAATGGAGATTTAGGTTTATGAGTACCTTCCAGGTAGATAGAAACTACCTCTATGTGAAAAAGTTTTATATCTAATTCAGGGATAATTTTGACATTATTTTGTGAAAAGCAATATTGAAACTATAAATAAAGCATTCCTAATCTGAGTTGGTCAGTATAGGAGGAGGAGTTTATCTGTTTCTTTGCTAACCATAAGAAAGACATTTTTAATGTGTATCCTTGTTTCCAAAAAGACAACCTTGCAATGAGGATGCTGATAAGGGTAAGTGAGAATCTTTTCCTAGCTCAACCATGGACATCCTTATTGACTTCAAGCATCAAACTTGATTTTTTAGTCCCTTCAAACAAAAGTGTTTTTTTTCTCATGGAGATTGTAAGGTTTAGTTAATTAATCCTAATGAAATGTTTAATTGTTGATAACTGTTAATACAGTCATAGAAAAGTTTGTGCATGAATGAGATTTCCAAAATTCTTGAAACAGTTCATCTTTTGAAGGAAATATGTTTAGCTTATTGTCAGATCAGCTGTGTTTAGTAAAACTATCTCAGCAGTTATTTTGCCCTCTTGGAGTTTAACTGAAATTTTGGGTTATGATGTATTTGTTTTAAAGTTGTAGTTTAAAGTGTCAAATACCTTCTTGCAGAGGTAAAACTTTTGCCGAGTTAAAAACCCACAGTTTCATTCCAGACTATTGAAAACACTTTTTTTCAGGGTTTTATTTTGTTCTGTTGTCCTAAATAAATTCTAATCATACCTGCCTGTGGCAGATATGCAACCTAGCAACCAAAACTCGTGAGTCTAGCCTTCATGGTGGAAGCAGTCTTGTATTTAAGATATCATAAGACAATCTAAAATTGCTTTCTTGTTAATAATCTATAATATCAAGTCAAAAATTACCATCACTGTTGTGTGTGTGTGTGTTTTTTAATGTTTTTTAAGGCTTAATGTTCAATTTTTTTTTTAATGCATCTCTTTGTAGGTGATCAAGGAGACACATGCTTCAATTGCATAGGAACTGGAATATCCGGGCCTCCTGGAGAGAGAGGACCTCCAGGACCTCCAGGTAGTCCAGGTAAAGCTGTAATCATCATTTTTTTTTTTCTTAAAATATTTTATAAAGGTACCTTTGTTTCTGAATGTGCAAACTCCGATGCACAAAATAGCAACTCTGATATACAAGTTCTTGTCTCATTTTGCCCAGCTGAGGAGTGTTCAGGCTGGACACATATAAAGTAGTTACTCGTTCTTGAAAATCTGGTAATCCAGAAAAATTCTCTGGTCAAAGACAGTGTTATAAGCGTTGTGCCTATTGAAGGTGAGTGGTTGCTGTAGATTTAACTGAAGTACAAAGAAATTAATTTCTACTACTTATTCCTCAAATAGTAGAAGAACTGGAGCTTTTTGAAGGTGTAACATTTTTAACATTACTGATTTAACTTAGAGATACAAATTTTGTTTTGTTCAAATAAAATCAAGCTGTCAAAAATAAAAGGGCAAGCTATACTTTGCCTTGGTTGCAAACAGTGTGCTTTATATTTACGTTTCTACTGTTTTGTGCTATTGTTCTATCTTTTTCTGCATTACTCAGGTTCCCCTGGTTTTCCTGGACAGAAAGGTGAAAAGGGGCTTCTTGGATTAACTGGCCTTGTAGGACCACCTGTAAGTGGTGCTGTTACATTCTGCTGGGAAGCAGAAGTGTCTCCTTTGTTTTATATGTTTGGTAGATCAGTACTAGGTAAATGTGAATTTTAAGTCTAACACTTCTCTTTTGTCTCTAACTACTTTGAGTCTCTAATTCCTATATTACGCCAACCTAAGAGAGGAAGAGGGAAAAAAAAAAAAAAGGTGAAAAGGCTTATTTTGTTTTTTGTTTGTTTTATTCCCACACAGGGATTTCCAGGGCCCCCAGGTGCCCCTGGGAGACCTGGTCCTAAAGGAGACCCAGGGGATGTCCTGACTTCTCCAAGAATGAAAGGTGACAAGGGAGATCCTGGCTTCCCAGGACCTCCAGGTCTTCCTGGCATAGATGGCACTCCTGGACGAGATGGACTGCCAGGTCTGCCTGGCCCTAAGGGAGAACCTGTGAGTTGCATTTTATGCTGTCTTTGTTTGGACAGATGTTTTGGGAAGTCCTGGATGCGTTTGGAATAATGCAGATAGGAGGACTGGCCCATGCACTTTTCTTTGAATGTGAGTAATGAAATAATTGTCTCCAGTAGATGCCAATCTAGTAATGATAGACAAGGTAGTCTCTACAATCTGTCGGTGCCTCTCTAAAAATAAATGGAGAGAGTTCCCTTGGGCAACAACAGATAGGCATTTCTGCTGTTCATGTGTGTAGCGCAAGAAATTAAGTAGCCAGATTTGGACCTTATCTACAGCGTGTTGGTAAGATGTTGGTAACCTAATGGCCTTGGGAGATAGAAGGATGGAAATTATCAGAGAGCTTCAAAACAGAAACAGCGAAAACATTTTACTCTTTCCTAGTAAATACATGTTTTTCCAAGATAGGAATCTTGCTCTTCCTCCTTTTCAGGGTAGTGTTGCATTCAAAGGAGAAATGGGAATTCCAGGTGACCCAGGAATACCAGGTCTTCCTGGAGACAAAGGACTTCCTGGACCTCCTGGTTTTGGTCCACAAGGTTCACCAGGTGAAAAAGGCATCCAGGGTGTTTCAGGTCGTCCAGGCCCTCCTGGAGTTCCTGGTGAGTTAATTTGTGTGCTATTGAACAAAAACTTTATAACCAAGTTGTGTGCATTTGGCTCCTACCTAGGCTCCTAACTAGGTTGTGTCCATTTGGCTCCTACCTTCAAGAAAACTGTCCTAACTTAAGCAATGCTTCTAGGCCAATGAATGCTGTATAAGTTTCAGGTGGGATGTAACTTGCTGAATAAAGAATTGCTGGTGTTTAAGTTCTTTGTAAGCCTAGGATGTGGTTAGCATCTTTCTGTTCAGCAAAAAAAAGAATAAAAGAACTCCCTCTGAGTAATTTTTCTTCTCTTTGGTCTCAGGTCCAAAAGGTGAACCTGGTCAGACTATTACAGAACCAGGAGTACCTGGCCCCCCTGGTCCTCCAGGCAGAAATGGTGACCCAGGTCTTCCAGGTAAAGCTACACTAGAGGTCCAGGGAATAGCAAGAGCCTTTTTTTTTTTTTTTTCTGACTGACTGTTTGTTTACAGTTTTTTCTAATTTTCACAGGGGATCCTGGTCAGCCAGGTCAGCGTGGCCTGCCGGGCATCCCAGGTGTGAAAGGAGAGCCAGGTATTCCTGGCATTGGGCTTCCAGGTCCACCAGGCCCAAAAGGTATGCTTGCAGACAAATGGCTAAAAATTGGAATATTTTGAGAGTTGTACCTCTTCACTGGTTCAAGTCAATTAAGTTGCATCTTTTAACAGAATCTTTTAAAAGTTAAGACTGATTACATTGAAGTTATCTATCTTCATATTTTGTTGTTAAGCATCAGGGAAAAAAAAAAGAGCTCTTCACTATACTGTTCCTTCATGGTAGCTTACATTTTTCAAAACAAAACATATATTTTAAAAACTTGAGAAAGTTAGGGAAGCTTGGGCTTGATTAATTGTTGATAAACGATCTCCACATGCTGTCGCAAGATTTTAAAGTTTCTGCTGTAAACTGTTCATAATTATAATGAGCACAGAGCATGAGTGCGTCTTTCTGACAGGAGTCACAGATATCCTCTATGGCAAAGACTGTGGACTTAATATCATCTTAGCCAGATAGTTATTCCTCAAGTATGCTTGAGCTTGTACAGAACCTCTTTTCCAAGGTCATTTTTCACGGTCCCCAAGTATTTCTTCTCTATTGGTCTCTGGTGTCCTTTCCTCAGCTGCCCTAACCTTCATGTCATGTGTAGGTTTCCCAGGTACTCCTGGCCCCCCTGGAGCTCCAGGAACTCCAGGTCGCCCTGGTCTAGATGGACCTCCTGGACCACCTGGTTTTCCAGGACAGAAGGTTTGTGTTTGCTTGTTTACTATAAAAACTTCATTTTCTTGGACGTTCTTCTGCATAAGTGGGAAGCTGGTGGGGAGTGTTTTGCCTCTTCTGATCAGCTTTTGATAGTGGGAAAATCAGTTCACTATCTCAGGTTTGACCAAGGGTAGGAAAAAAGAAATTGAACTCTAAGATAGTGCAATTTTTTTTTTCTTCTCTACTAAACATTTTTAAAAAAGAATAAATTTGGAACCTTTTTTTTTTTTAAGAAAAAGAAATGTTTTACTACAGGGGGATCGTGGATTTGGAGTTCCAGGACCACCTGGATCCCCAGGACCACCAGGCTTAAAAGGAGTTCAAGGGCCTAAAGGTGATACTGGCTTCCCAGGAAACCCTGGTCTCCCAGGACGAGCAGGTTTTGATGGAACTCCAGGGCCCAAAGGTACAGAGAGCCTTTTCTGTTCTCTACTGAAATCTAAACAGCGCAGGTATGCTGGGAGATATATGGCAGTTAATTATAAGTAGTGCTGTTTTTGAAGCAATTATATCACGGTCTCTTTTTTCCAAAGTACAGATCCTGCATAAATGGAATTTTGTGTCCTCAAAAGACAAACAAGCAAAGGAATAAATAGCAATTTGTGAGTTAGTACCTAAAAGACTGTCGTCCAGAGACAAATCTAGGTGAAAGTAAAACAATAGAACAGCAGTCATTTTCATGGAGTGTTTCTACATGCAGAGTGGTAGCAGTTTATAAACTGCTACTGTTAATCGTTGCCTGTGTACTGTATGCCGTTATACTGTGGAGTATACCTGGTTTGCTGGATAGCATCTGTTGGGTTAGACATGGATTAGGATGCAAGAATGTCTCTGTAGTCTAGAAACGTAAACTGCATGTGTTCCACGCAGAATGAGAGCAAATCTCTGGCTTGTTCTGAAATAGCTTCTTAAAGCTTGTTGGTGTCTGTGTGTGTGTGTGGTTCTATATTTGATTACATCAAAGGATCAAATTTCAAGCACAATGTGAAGGTACCACTCTCTTTATGAAAGCAAGTATCTCGTGAACTAAGTTCACTACTGAACTAAACAAGAGTGTTCTTTTAGGTGACCCTGGACCAAGCGGACCACCAGGACTTCCAGGCCCACCAGGCATCCCTGGGATTGGTGGCCAAGGTCCACCTGGACCTCCTGGACTTCCAGGGCCTGTTGGTCCACCAGGTAAAACTCGCATGGCTTGTACTTTTTGGTTATTTCTGGCAGACACCAAGCAGTACACAGGACACTGAAGGTCCCACTGAACAAATAGGCAACGAAGCAGAGAGACTTTGTCTGTTGGCTTGACTGGCTTGCCAGTCAGGTCAGCAGAACTTCATACATGTGAGGGTTTTCTTTTTTTTTTTTTTCTTCGAATTGAAGTAGAGCAATTCACAATGACTTGTAATAGAAAAATTTCTTTTTTTCCTACACTCAGTGAATGGACTTGATGTGCAGCAACATTGCAAATGTGTGGCAGTTATCACTGTCAGAATATTCTCTGTGGATGTGAGCATGCCTACAGCTTGAAACATTTCAAAACCCATTTCTTGCCATGGCTGTATGACTCATCACATCGCATGTCTGTGACCTACATGTCCTGTGTTTGTTTCTGTAGGCCAGCATAGGGGCTGGCATGGCACACAGTGCATGCTGGCAAATTCATAGCCAGCTGTGACAGCATGGGCCACAGATTGGCTGATCTCGCTCCAATCTTTATGAAACATGGGCTGAAATCTGGCAAAATGCTTAACTTAAAGCTAGGTGAGTGCTTGAATATATAGGCTCCACGTGCTTAGGGGTTCTGTTTAGGTATTAAGTGTGCAGAACCAAGCTCAAGTTCGTTTGCTGGGATTTTAGTATAGGGATTCAACATTTCATTCAATCCATGTTCTTTTTTTGGCTTTCTATAACAATATCATGTGTTGGCAAGAATTTGGTTTAATGCAATCACCAATTTATTCTGCAAAGTATCTATTTTGACATGCAAAATATGGCTAGTGTCAGTGGATTGAAATGGTTATTGTTTTGCTCTTCGTGTCTATGCAGACTAATTATTGTGGCTACTAACAGCATGATGTCTCTGAAATTTAGTGCATGATTGAACTTCCTACTGGAGAAGTCCATGTCATTTCTCTCAGCTTTGCTAGTTGTCTGGTTTGTGCAATGTGCCTAATGCTTCCATCACCCATGCCTTATTTTATTTTTTGTCTTAACAGTATATTTTGACTCTGTTCCTTTATGCAAGTAGCATAACATTTCTGAGACTTTGTTTTTCAGGTAACTAGACAAATTCTTAACAGACTTTCCTTGTTAAGGTTTTCTTTCCTTTGCACCACCATTTCTTCCAATTGTTCATAGTACCTCAGTCTCATTCTTTTTTAAAATATGCATTAAATTACTCAAGAATTTATTGGGTTGTTTGTATTACTGTTAAGTATGATACAGTCAGAGTTTTGAGAACTGGAAAGGAAATAATGTGAATTTCTATTAGAAAAGTGTCTACCTATTACAAGGTTATGTATGATTATCCCATTTTGTTCCTCTTGCTTATAGAGACCCGCCTTACACACAGTGTATGTACAGTCCCTATCCATCCTCCTTACTGTTTTTTCTCTGCCAAGTAAGCAGTTCCATGCACATGACACCAGGGTTTAATGCAGCGGTAAGCAGTTGTCAGAGGAGCATGCTTAGTATTCATAACTGGAAGCCTACAGCCTACAAAGTCAAGAAAATTTTATCGGCCTTTATCTGCCTGCAAAAAAGCAAATCCTGATGCCGCTCTTAAACTTATTTCTGCAGTCAAAAGTAGGGGTTGCCATCTGTTACAGTGTAATAGTGCCTTATAGTTATTCATGTGATTTTGAATTTGTGTTGTCATAATCCCAATAGAGAGGCTGCACTACAGTATGTAACATGCAGTATAGCATCTCTTCAAGTGTAAGGATGTAAATTGGTGTAATAGAAATAGAAGAAATTTTAAAATATGTTTAATTATATTTTTTGTTGCTATAAAAGAAGTATCTTTTGAAAATCCCTGCCTTGTTGATTTGAATTATATTGCTGTAAATCCCTCAAGAAGTTAGCTGGTAGGATGTGCTTTGGTATTTAGAAGGCATCCAAGCCTGTATAAGAATTTAGATAAAGAAATTATTCCTCAATTGCAAAGAGATGGCTAGATAAGGGAGCAATAGTTTTTGATGAGATTATATCATACCTTTTGAAAATACTTCACTTGATTTCTTGTTTCTGCATACAGTGGTGGCTGCATTTAGGAAAAGACTTCCTCTTTTCTTACAGTCTGGTTTCTCTTAACTGCATTAGTATTGTATTCCTTGTGCCTAGGTCTGATTTCAGTAACTTTAGATATTTTTTTTTTGTTCTAATTTGTATGTGCTTTATTTTTGTTTCCTAACTTAACGACTATCACAACTCCTTACTGCTACCTGTCTCAACTTCCTGATGAACTCTAACTCGTTGGCTTTTGAACCTCAGGTTCCCCAGGTACTGTGGTTTCTTTACCAAAGAGTTTTCTTAACGGCAAATTTAAGAATGATCTTTTGGTCAGTGAATATCATCACTGATGTACTGTACTGAAGACAAATGAGCTGTCTGCTTGTTTCAGCAGTGCCTTGGACTCAGTCATTAACATTAAACAAAATTCAGCAAGTTTTGATGATATCTTTCATTCAGAGGAGTTTAATGCAATGAAAAATTTTGCCATCCTTGAAAAATGTTCAGTTTGATGTTATCCTGGATATAGTAAAATAGAATCATTAATGGAAATGTACTTTTAAAAATCACTATACTTAATATTAATCAATCCAATGCAAACCAATCTAAATCTTGTTTTTTATTATTTTATTAATCAGATGGTTGTTGAAAAGAGAAGTTTTCCTTTTGATAATTCATTGAATTGAATTTGCTACAACTTGATATAATTTCAGAAATGTTTCTCTTTAGGAAAATACAGCCTTTAGCTCCCAGGAAGCCATGGATATACATGACTTAAGAATAATTGCAGATTTTCCACTAGTACTAGGAATATATTACAGATAAAACTTAGTTGTTCAAACAGTACCATGTCCAGAGACACACACACCACAGTCTTGCTCTACCTTTTGCTAAAGGGTTGTGTTTTAACAACATTGTCCAGGGTTGCAAGGCATTCCAGGAGAGAAAGGAGATCCAGGTCCTCCAGGCTTTGACGTTCCTGGTCCACCAGGTGACCAAGGAGCTCCAGGATATCCAGGACCACCTGGTCTCCCAGGGCCTCAAGGTTCTCCTGGACCACCAGGCCGGGATGGAATACCTGGATTTCCAGGTAAGTTCGTATTTGTTGCTTGTGGACAAAAGACAATTTGTAATTACAGGAAGACATTCTTTATCCTCATGCATGCCAGTTTAAACTGCACTCTTTATTCTATCAGTTTGAAGTTGGATACTTACATTTCATGCTTATTTTTTTTTAATTATAACAATGTTTGTTACATTAAAATCCTTATCACCTCACCACTCCTACCCTTTCCTCTGATACAAATATTCTCCACCGATCAGTTAATATTTTGGGAAAAGATTTCAGTTTTCTTAGTCTGATTTTTCTCAACTGCATTAGTATTGTGTTCCTTTTGCTTAGATCTGTTTTCTGTAATTTTAGGGTAGTTTTTTTTGTTATTCTGCAGTGTTATTCTACTTCATAATTATCAAACACAACTATGATCTTTGCAATGCTTTTCTAGTTTATTTTTGGTGTATTGTTCTAGTCACTGCTACATTGGAAATAGAATTATTTTTAGGAAAGTAATTGCAAATACTATCAGTTTAATTCAGGTTACAATCTTAAATATTAATTTCTTTATTCTGTGTAGCAGAGCATGGCCTGTTTATCCATCTGCAATAGAAATCTCAAAATTTAATTTTGAGAATCTTTCTCTTTGCATAGATGGACTAAGGTAAAAGTTTCTGTAAGAAGTATATTTGTATTTGCCCTTCTGGCTTTCAATACATATAAGCTTGCTTTACAGGAAGTATTTATATTTCATGTCTAAGTGGATGTCAAAGTTCCTACTGGAAAAAAAAACAGCAGTTCAATGCAAATTTTCTTCTCAGGACTTTATTATGAAGGAGCTGGCACCATCTTCAGGTGTCGTTCTATCTGATGTAAATTTAGTGCTTGCAATTACCTTAAAGCATCTGTTAAGCTCCATATTCATGTGCTCATTAATAATACTGCATAGGTGTTGGGAGGTATAAATTAAGTAGTGATAGATTTGAGTTTTTTTAGACTGATGTGGGCCATTCCATGTATTTAGGTACCAAAGGCGAGATGGGTGTCATGGGAGCCCCTGGTCCTCCAGGGCCTCCAGGAACACCTGGAAGAAGTGGCATTCCCGGCTTGAAAGGTAATCTTTATTTAATCCCCCTCCTGAACAGAATGCCAAAGGCTGATTTCTCTATCCTGTATAGAAACAGGCTTCATAATAGTACCATCTAGAACTTCATTACTGGGGAAAAGCTTGGGTTATCTTCTTGATTGTGCTGATGTTCAGAGGTCCTTTATAGTTTCAAGGCACAATGAAAACACTTATTTTTTTTTTAAGAACGTAATGAAATGTTAGCTATTTTAAAAATATGATCTCTGGATTGATAGTAGAGAAATAGGGTCATATATCTGTAGTATATTTTAAAGTCTGCTTCAAACAGGAAAAAAATTCAGTAGCTTTAGATTGTAAAGTAACCAGATGAACTTTATATGCATCACAGAGAAATGTGTTCTATCTACATTCTTTAACGGGGGATTAATTTTGAATGTTTGGTAGGAGAAAAACCCTCATCTTCCTGTAATAAGGAGGATATGAATCCATAGCTTCTGTAGGAATTTGAGCTTCTCCGTGCTAATGGTGCAAGATGATGGGACTCTTGGAGCTCTCTTGGTGTGAGCTGGAACAGCCAATTCTTTCTTGTGAGCAGGACTGATCAGAGCTGACCAGATGCCTTCTTTCCCATACAGATGTTCCTACGCAGTCTCTTTGCTCAGCTTTGCTTCAGGGCTTAACGTGCTACAGAGAACTAAACCGACTGCTCATTGAGTAAATTCTGCCTTTGTGAATAAATCATGACCTTCCTATGTTATGAAAAGCATCATAATTATTTTAGCCTACCCCATGGATTGTATTTTTTTCCCTTTGTTGTCTGTATTGCTGTAGGTAATAATGGATTACCTGGTCAGCCAGGACCTCCTGGACCAGTAGGACAGAAAGGCATCAAAGGTGAAGCAGGCCTGCCAGGTCCACCAGGGAAAGTTGATCCAAAGCAGCTGGGAGCAAAAGGAGAAAAAGGCGAACCAGGTGTTCCAGGTACAGAGCTCTGCCCATGGCTATGGAGTGGGGTTTTTATTCTACAGAAAGTGACCTGTGACTGAATCTATTATAGTTCATTCTTTAAGGAAGAAATAAATTCAGAATGGAGAGCAGATTATGTTATTTAATTTTAGGCTATTTAAAAAAAAAAAAAACTTGTGATCCAAATGCCAATGCCCTTGTTCATTAACTTGCTACTATTTATGGCATATATTACAATAGCACTAAGATGTTCTCACCGGGATTATGGTTCAGCCTTCTAGGTGTTATAATGAGAGATGGTGGTTATGGCTGGGGGCCT